AATCCGAGGCGGCAGGTGTTAGAAACGGTGAGAACGCACACGCCTTTTTACTGCTGGTCAGGACAGAGACGCTGCAGGAACAGATTCGCCCCGAAATCCCAGTGGGGTCACAGTTACGGCTTAAGACTCATTCACACCACGTGTCCCTGCGGGCGGGCAGGTGGGGGTATCGTGGAGGGGGAGGGGGGCTGCTCCACACAGTCACTCGGGGACCTCGGCTGGCAGAGGCCCCGCCACTCGCACAGGGAGCAGGGACTGGAGAGCTGCACGCGTGGGCATCTCGCAGTCGCGGCCGGCAAGCTTCGCGGTCACTCTCTGCTGTTTCATGGCCGGAATGGGCACAGGGACCCCGAGGGGCGCTAAGGGGCTGGAGAGCGGGGTGTCCTGTGTGCACAGGAAGGAAGGGGGAGGCAGAGCACGTGCATTGCCCACCACCCCCTTGAGGCAGCAAGTCCAACTTTAGGAAATTATCCCAATAAATATTCTGCAAAGTTCACGAAGATGCTAGAAGGAAGGATTGCGTCGTGTCCTTGACTAACAACAGTAAAAAACTGGAAGCAACCTAAGTATCCAAGGAACAACCTACACAGGTGTTAAAAATGATGAAATAAAGTATTTACTGATACAGAACTCTATTCACAGTATAGTGCAAAGGGGGGAAAGCAAGTTATAAAATAGTATGTATGATTGTATTTCATGGGGGAAAAAAGGCAATAAAACAAATATAGAGGCATAGGAAAAATGTCTGAAAAGAGATATAGCAAAATGTTAACAGTGGTCATAATCAGATGGTGTGTAAAATGTGATTTTTTTTCTTCTCGCTCATCTGTAGTTTCTTTAAAAAAAAAAAAAAAAAAAGTATATATTATTTATGTACCAAAAAGGCATTTAAAAAGGGAGGGGGGNNTTTTTAAAAAAAAAAAAAAAAAAAAAAGTATATATTATTTATGTACCAAAAAGGCATTTAAAAAGGGAGGGGGGACACCTGGTGCTCTCGGGAAGGTCTACTTGTCCACCTCACACTCATCATTAAGTTCTTACATTTGAGGCAAGGAATCGCCCGTCACATCGTAAGACGTTGCTACGACAGTTTCTTTAAAGCCAGGGCTCCGTGTTAAAAGCGGTGCAATGGGGTAAAAAAAACAGTAACGCGCTGCCCAGGGCTGCAAATCGTCGGGCCCGTCAATCGTGTGCCACAAGGCCTCTCAGGGTGGACTCCACCGTGGGCTCCTGCCAAGGGCGCAGGGGTCTGGGGGGCCTGGGGGGCCTGGGGGACCCCTCTTCACAAGCAGGGCTCTGAACAATTCCACTTGGAACAAAAGACCCACAGACGCTCCTCATAAGCGGGTCCCACGCAGACACCCCCCCCCCCAGGGCCGTTACAGACCCCTCTTAGCTGAACATACTTTTCACCGAAAACAGCGTTTCTTTCTACTGGCCCCAGCCACCTCCCCCCCGACACACGCACGGCGTCCTAAGTTCACGAGACCATTCGCCCAGCTGTCAGGTTCCTGCCAATGCCACCTTCTCGCCTGGCTGGCGTTGAAAAAAGGAACTCAGGAAACCCGTGCCCCTGAGACGGGCGCAAGGAAAGGACAGGTAAGTAACACGCACGTCTATACAGCATCCCCTCTCCAGGCCGTGACCCCCACCATCCCCAAATGTGTAACATTTCTTTGCGAGAAACCACGCCATCGGGAACTACGGTCCTTCTAAACCGTGCATATCATTTAAAAATGTATACGGACGGCTGATCGGCAAGCTCCTCGTTTAAACCGTCGGCGCTTCCAAACCCAATGACGTTTGGCAGGAACCAGAGAATCGTGGCTTTTAGAAGGGTGGACGGACAGGACCAAAGACCGGCCTCCAGCGGTCAGCAAAGAGCCTCTCTCTCGGACCAGTGCTGAGTCCCAGCTCAGCTGCCGCCTTCCGAGTGCACCCGGCCACGCCTGGGGTCTCCCTGCGAGATCTCTCGCACGCCCGCGTCTCGGCCCTAGGGAAGGGCAGGCTTTTCTATGAAAAGCGCTCTTTAAATGGACCGGCGGAGATGCTTCTGGGCAGCACGTTAACTGTATTCTGCCCACCCGTGACTTCATGTGCCTGATGTCAGATGACTACATGCCCGTCGCGGGTCAGCACGCCACCATCCTAGAGGCTGTGGTCATGGCCTGGCCGAGCCTAGAGCCGCCCACAAGGAGGCTACAGGTTGGAGGACGGCTGCCTGCTGTGGACAGTCCTCCTGGGGCTGGGCGGGTCCCAGGTCACCCTGTTCTCACCCCTGAGCAGGCTGCTCCCTGAGCAAGGCCTGGCCCCCTGTCCCAACCCGCCCCTCGGGTAGTTTTCCGCTCCCTGGCACGAGGAGGGGTCCACCTCCACTCGCCATTCTCAGCTTTGCAACGCACCCAGTGGGTCTTCACTGGGACAGAAGTTGTTTTTAAGGGTCATTACGAACCAAGGGCTGCGTGTTTTACTTCGTCTCTTAGGCCCCAGGTTTCGCGGGTGGGGAGAGGACACTAACCCAGGGTCAGGCGGCCAGCCTCGGGGATGTCAGGGTCAGGAGACGTCACTTGGGGACGACAGTGCAGTCCTGGCCCTGCGTCTTCGGGCAGCACAATGTGGCCGGACGCTCACAAGGGAAAGGTTTCTGTCCTGCCTGCACCTGGCTCAAGGCAGTGACGACTAAAGGACACCAGTGTGAGACTGGAGATGGACGTCCTAACAGACACGCGAGGCTGGCCCAAGTGAAAGCCAGGTGGATTCAGCGGGTCATTCCTTATACCGGGTCCACCCTCACCGAGCCTGAGGCTCTCAGACAGGGCCGGTCTCTCCACCGACTATCCAGGCGTCCTGGACCATTTTTCTTAAAAGAAAGTAAATGAAGAGGCATCAGGACCTTTCGAGAGGAGCAGAGGGACGCAGAGTCCGGTGCCTTTGAGGCTCTGCCTTCCCTGCTGAGCCCACTCACCGCCCCTTCAGAAGAGCTCGGGGGCTCTCAGCTCCCCGCTGACCTCAGCTCCAGCCCGCGGGGCTGTTACAGACGATGAGCCACACGGCAGGGGCCCAAGCTCCTCACCTATGACCTACGGGGTGCTCGCCAAACTCTTCATGGGACAAATGGGGACGTGGCAGCCACCTGGTAACAGCTCTGCCGCCTCCGCTCATGCCGCCTTCCTGTGACTCTGCCACCTGAGGATGCCCGTCAGTCAGGACGGCTCCTCCGGATTAACAAGCCACCTGGCAGGCAGGCGGGGCATCAGGAGACCCACGCTGAGGTTTTGAGCTTCAGTGTCCACTGCTCTTGGGCAGCCAGGCGCCCAGTCTGCTGGAGGGTGGACTGACCTGGCCTGAGAGGAATCCCTCTTACCCGCTGCTGGGCACAGGCCCAGCTCAGGGCCAGCGTGGTGATCTGGTCTCCGGCTCAGCCACAAGGAGCTGCCACCAACCGTCCTGAGGGCCACCTGGAGCTCTGGGGAAAGGGCAGGGCCAGCAGTGCCTTATCTCAAATCACTGGAGGGCTGACCACGCTCTGCACCTCCTGTGGGCCATGCACTCAGCCTGCGGGGTCTCCCCTAGGGTGCCGGGCCTCCCCTAGGGTGCTCGGTGCTCCCGGTCGCCAGCGTCCCTCCTTCCCCACCCCCGCCCAGAGGGTTTCGGCTACATGACAGGGAGTAGAACCGGTAAACTCACCTCAGGGCCCAGGACACGTCTGTGGGCACCCTGCCCTCCCTAAGGCTGTTTTATCATTTATCCAAATTCAGCAGGAAGAAGTTCTGCCCAGGTGAGAAAACCCTTCCAGAAGGGGGAGTTCCCTCAGTGGTTCTCAAAGCAGGGAAGAGGGCACCATTTAGAAATGCCGACGACCAGGACGCAAACCATTCTGCCAAGCACGGGGCAGCCCCTCCCAGTGAAGGATGCCCACGGCGGGCAGTGCCACTGAGAAACTCTGCAAACTCCAGCCCCTCCCTTAGCAGGAACCGAGAGGGACAGAGGAAGACCTGGGCTGGACTCCCCTGCCGCCAAGGCCAACCTCCCCCGGGTGAGCTGGTGTGATTTCGTTCTCAGCTGTCCGAACCCACCCTAGATCCCAGCCGGGCAGCCCCAACAATGGGGAAAACCAGGGGTCCTGGAATCCCAGGCTACAGGCTCCCACGACTGGAGAGTGAGGTGGCCCCAGGGGCAGAGAGGACTCAGACCAGCTCCTGCTGTCTCCACAGCCACCCTCCCTGCCACGGGGCCACCGAGCCAAACCACGCCTCTGACCACACAAGTGCACTCATGTCTGACACTGACCCGGGCGTCAAGATGCCGGTCTGTTCAACAGGGACTCTGCTGGGGTTTGATTAAAACACTAAATTCTGTTTATACATTTAATTGAACAAGTATTTATTAAGCACCTACTTTGTGCCAGGCACTATGCTAGGCGTCCTCACTGTGAGCTGTCCCCACAGCACAGCAATCTGCTCAGAAACTAAAACCAAGGACAGGAGCATTGTCGCAACCTTACAAACTGGGCGGGATGGGGGGGAGAGTGGATCGGGCGGTCCCCGGGCCACAAGGCGCGCCCACGACACTCGTCTTTTCTCTGGACAAGGCTGCTGAGTAGCTGCTTTAAAGCATCTGGGTACTCACCGGGAGGGAACCGTCCATCTCCACGCCCCACACAGGGCGCCTGGTGGACATTCAAACACTCCGAACGCCATTTGGAAAGAGGAGGTGTGAGGGATATTCACATTTGGATTAGAAAACTTATTTCAGTTCGTGTGGTTGCAACAACCCTTAAGAAAGATATAAACATCCCTGCCCTGACTGCGTAAACGTTAAGGTAGACCTAGTCTGGATTCCTGAGTCAGAACCTTCCAGTTGCCCACAACCTCGAAAGGCCAGAGGCGCGCGAGGAGACTTCTATCCCGGAGGCGAGCGAGTGGACAGGCCCCGCTGCAGACGCGTTTACAGACGCAACACCAACAGGAGGCTGTCCCGTCCTGGGTCCCACACGCGCGGCGAGGCCCGCGGGCGGGCTCACGCACCCTAGTTGTCGGCGCCCAGCTTGGACAGGCCTCTGCGGAAGTCGTGCAGGTCGTCGATCTTCCCGTCCAGCACCTCCAGGAAGCTCTGCAGCTCCACCTTTAGGTGGCGCTGACGGTACTGACTCTCCTCGATGTCCCTCTTCAGCAAGCGCACTCTTTCCTCCAGGTTGTGATTGTCTTTCTCCGCAGCCTGAAGCGAAACAGAGGGGGGGCTGGAGAGCAGGGATGGGGGCGCCCGCCGTGTCCGCCCCCGCCCCCCGGCTGCATCCCTGACGGGTTAGCTCCTTAGCACAAGGCGGGGGCCTTTCAGCTGCCCGGCTCCCCTTCCTGTTCCTGCAGAGGTGCCGACGGACACAGTGGATGACCGACCAGCTTCTGGCTGAAAAAATGACGCTCCCGCCCAGGACGCAGAACGCGGAGGCCTGCGGGGAGCCCCGCGCTAACCGACCCTTTCACAAGGGCCCAGCAGAGTCTGGAATCCCACCACACGGCATTTTCAGCCCCAGTCCCAGAGCGGTCAGCAGAGGCCCATTTGGTTCCGTTCTGACACCCCGAACCCCAACCCAGTTACTAATCCTGGGGCTGTGAACCTTAATAGAGGGCTCCTGAAGTGGGGAGACCCTGGGTGGTAAAGGAGATGGTCACAACCCTCCTTTTGTGGATCAGAAATCTGAGGCCAGGGAGGAGCGTCTGCCCCAAGGTCGTGTGCAAGGTCGCTGGCTGGGGAGTGGAGAGGTGGGATAGCACCCGGGTCGCGTGCTCTTAGCCCTTCCTCTGTCCCCACTGCCCACCACCTCTGTGGTCCTGAAGGGGCTTCTGGGGACTGGGAACAGTCCTGCACTAGGGCTATGGCAGAGGACACCTTCGTCTTGTGGAAAAGGGAGAAGACAGATGCTGCTGAGCCTTCTGTGGGGGCAGAGGCGGCACCTGGCAGGCAGCCGCTGCTGGGCGTGAAGGCAACGGCCCCAGAGAAATGAGTGACGCTCTCGTCTGAGCCTCCCCCTTACCTCCAACTTCTCAGAGACGTATTCGCACTCTGACATGAGCTGAGGTATGATTTCACTTTGTTTCCGGAGGTCTTTCAACTCCTACAGGGGACAGAAGTTTCAAAAAGAACGTGAACACGAGTCCGAGATGTATCCTTGGAAACCCCCTTGTGCACTAGGAACAGAAGGAGCTTCTGGAGCCTGTAATGTTTGCGTAACTAATGACGATGACACTCGGCACCCCGGCCTTCGAAGGGCTCAGGGCTCTCCATGCATTATCGCGTGGAGTCCGTACACCTCGTGACAGGCAGGCCTTCCTGCTTTGCAGGTGGGGAAACTGAGGCTGAGAGAGGTCTGGTAACCAGCCCGTGGTCTGCAGTGTCTGTGTACTCAGCTGTCCTGACTCAGAAAACAAGTGACTAGGATTGTTGGCTCTCACTGCATTAATCTGACAGCAGGATTCAACGGCTGGTGACAGAGCACCTAAAGCAGCTTCCAGTGTTCGGGACAAGGCGCAGTTCCCTCTTGGATCGGAGAGGCTGACCGCACGCTACACACAGCGAGGAGGCTGTAGCACCTGTGCCCTGATGTGACTCTTGCCTCTATCTCTGTGCTGATGCCCGGCAGCTGCCAGGGCCGGTCACATGCCCAGTCACCTGCTGTGTCCTTGGGTGGAGATCACCCACAGGCCCAGGGCACCCAGGGGCACGTCGGAGCTCCATACTCACCGTCTCCTTTTCTCGGAGCTCCAACTCCAGCTCCTCGATCTTCCTCTTCAGCTGGGTGTTTTTCTCTTTCTCTCGGTTTATCTCACTGCACTGTTCTTCCAGCTCGTCAATCTTGGGGAAACATCACACGGGAAGCAGGGATGCTAGCTGACGTTGGTCATTAAACAAAGGATCACCACAGACCTGTTGATGCTTCCTTCTGAAGTAAACCATAAACTAACCCACTGATGTTTCTCAGAGGCTGCAATCCAACTCCGTGTGGCTCCGGGAGGGGCGTCCTGTCCCTTCCAGCGGGAGATGCCCTACCTACCACCGGCAGACCCAAGGAGTCACCGGACCTGCCCTTAGGCTGCTCTGGGCTCTGGCTGCTCTCATGGCCACAGGACAGAAACTTTGGGTTTGCTTTAAGGATTCAGAACCAGCAGGGGCCAGATGTCCCATGAATCTATGTGCTTCTCCCCAGAATGACTTTGCATCATTTTAATCCTTATTCCGTTTCACGGGTCTAAGCCAGCAGGGTAGACTACAGAGCACTGTGGGCCAGTGGCCACCAAACGGGACAAGATGACATTTCAAACGTTTTATATCAAGTTGACCTTTCCCAGCTGATGCACGCAGGAGACCGGCCCCCAGGCCTCTTCCTCAGGGTGGGAGTGATGCCAGCTGAGTTGGTAAATCCCCAGAGTGCACCTTTCTCTCCCTCCCCAGCCTCACTCCTCAGAGGAAAGGCCCCGGCTGAGACTCCTGGCACTGCCATCTGGTGGTGAGTGTTTCCAGAGGCCAAACTGTGTGTGCAAAGTGGACAGGAGTGACCTACATGTAACACGAAAGTGCCACATTGACGGGGTCTCCACAAGCGGCAGCAACCATCCCAGAGGTGAATGCACTGGGTAATCACTGTGAGGACACTGCCCAGAGGTGGCCTGCACCACCCCTCGGGGTGTGAACCCCCAGCCAAGGGGCTGCCGGAGAAGCCCGAAAGTCAAGTTCCCACAGGGCCTGCCATCAGGGAAGCTGAGGTTCTCTCGGGAGCATTTCCTCCATGCCCTTGCCCTGCCCTTGAGCTCTCATACTCAGGCGCAGAGAGAGGAACTGGGCTCTGCTTGGAGAAAGAGAAAGGGCAACCCATCCCTCTACGGGCAGACCCGTCGGCCTGGGAAGGGAGCGTGCCGACTCAGCACCTGGCCCGGTGCCCTCACCGTCAGCACTGTGGGCACTGGGATGAAAACCGACACGAGCAGTTTCCCGTGGCATCTGTACCAAGCAGGCGGCGCAACAGAGCAGTGTCTCCGGGGGCTCCGCTCAGGAACACGGCCGCACAGCGGCCTCGAGCCCCAACTGGGGGTTCTCTGGCCACGCAAAACGACCTCATCACTCAGCCCAGCTACAAAGAGCAGGGGTGAATCCTGAACCAGCTGAAATGCCCTCGTGCCGAGGGGGGAGAGCAGCGGCCTGGGATGGTGGCCAGCACCCGCCCAGCACCCGCCCACCTCCGCGTCAAGGGCCCTACTCCTCTCGCGTCCACACTCACACGTTAGAGACAGAGATCTGTGCGAAGCAGCATTTCTGAGCCAACGCTCCTCACTGTTTCCTGCATCTACCTTCTTCACTCACCCCCTGGGTCCCCTTTTCTCCACCTTAGGTCACAGGACCACAGAAAATGCCCAGGAGGGCACCTGCGAGAAAAGGCCGAGCCACAGCTGGCGTCAAGAGGGCGCTGTCGGCGAGGCAACGCTGACGTCTCCCTCTTACTCTTCTCCCCTTTGGAACAGGAATTATAACAGTTGGCTCAATTAAAGTAGCACGTCGGTTACTGAGATGGAGGGAGGCAGCCAGCCTTCCTCCCGTGGTGGGGACGAAGGCACAGTGGTGGGGGGAGGAGCCCCGGCGCCCCCCCGGCTGGCCGGCCCCACAGCTCCCCCAGGGCCCACCTTGTGCCGCAGCCGGTCGTTCTCATCTCGGCAGATGGAGAACTGCCTCTTCCACTGCTCCACGCTGGTCGCAGACTCCTGCAGCGCCGTGTTCAGCCGGGCGTTGCTTTCCCGCAGGGTCTGCAGCTCGATCTCCCATTTCTTCACGTTGGCGGCACTGTGGGGAAGAGGCCAAGTGGTGACCAGGAGGCCGGTGCTCTCCACCCCACCCCTTCTCCACCCGGGGGCTGGCTGGAGGGAAAAGTGCCAAGAGGGACTGGTCACTCTCTAGTGTGAGCCCATCACCTCGCTGGGCTATTTTCTTAAGGAATCACTTTAGAAAAGAACAGAATTCCTAGAGAAGGAAGAGACCAGGCTCGAGGGACGCCTCAGAGGAAGACTGACCCGGGCACAGGAGGGGCCCCGCTCCTCCCTGCGGTGAGCCTCAGGACAGAGGTTCTGAAGTGGGGGCGACCACAGGGCCCTCTGAGAATCTCATGGACGCTCCTGGTCCCTTCCAACAAACTCCTGACACCGATCTTGGAGCCAAAGGACCCAGATTTAACAAACAAACAGGCAATAATGGTCCCACTGTCACTTGTGCCTTCTCAGAGCCTTTAAAGGGACCCAGACTTGAGAGCCCAGAGCTGGGGAGACAGTGACTGGGACTCCCGAGGGCAGGACTGGGTTCTAACCACGGATCCGGGGGACACCTCTATGGTGTCACGAAAGCCCCCGAGTTTATCTTTGATCCCATGTGTTCAGTGAAGAAGTTTTAAAAACAGGCTGGAGTCAGGTTCCCCTCAGAGGCGGTTTGCTCTGGAGGCTCCTTTGGTCCCCTTGCTGGGAACAAATCTGTGGTGCAGAGCGTGGCCTGGGCTGGAGAGTCCTGGCTTCCACTAGCGCCGCCTGGCCGGGAGAGCTGTCTCTACGGGCTTCTAAAGGCAAGTACGGCTGTATCTGGACAATCTGCGACGTGTTTCATCCCTCAGCCTCGAGGACCCGGGGATGTGATAGGAAAATACACACTTTCTGTTTCAAACAATACAGACTGAGAGAACAGAAAGTATTATCATCTGATTAATCCCAGGACTGATGACTGAGGACTTCAGCTGATTTGGGGAAGTGGCTTCACCCCCATTCCTATAATTCATTTCCCTATTAAACCGGGATTTCAAAACATTGACTTCAGGGCTGTCAGGTTTTCATTCAGGCAGCGCCCTGCACTTTAAATAGCCAGGAATCGTCCTACAACCGCCTGATGAGAAAGAACAGAGGCCGATCACAATTCTGTCCTTTGAAAGACCTGACAAAACACACAATCCAAAAAACGGTCCCGGTTCTTTCTGGAATCCTAGGTCAGGTCACAGGAATTATGCTCCAGGATCAGGCCGGGCCAGGCCAGCTGAGTTGGGAGGTGGGTACCAACAAATTGTGTATGACGTGGTCAGCCAGCCGGAGAACGGCCATGAGGCCAGCTGGCTGGTCTTCCTTTGGCCAGGAGGTGAGACTGGTTGCCCGTCTCCCGAAGCCACAGGGACCAGGCCACAGAAGCATCCTGAGGGAAGCACCGAGCAGAGAGAAACAGCGTCTGGACTCAAGCCCTTACCTCTGCGTCAACGCGACCTTTAGCTTGCTGTTCTCGGACCTCAGGTGGGTGTCGGCGGGGCTCGCGTGAGACGCCTTCTCGTCGTCGGTCCCATTGACACTGGACGCCTGCGCGGGAGGCAGGGTTTCACTCCCAGACTCCTGGCCACAGGGAGTCACCTCACACGCGACTGCAGGTCCTCAGAGTGGCAGCAAGTCAGGCACCCCGAGGACCTGGTTCTGAGCGTGGGAGAACAGCTCCCCTCCCAGCACACAGCAGCTCTAACAAGCCAAAGACCATCAGGAACGGAGGGCGAGGCCCAGAAGGGCCCAGGGGAGCTCAGAAAGCCTGCGCCTCACGGACAAGAGGGCACCTGGGGCCCTTCCCAGGCAAACCTCACACACTCCAGGGAAGGGGACCTGGCCTCCTTAAGTAACAGATGGAAGCCACCGATTAAAAGAGGAGGAAAGATTTACAATAAGGAACGAGAAGCACTGGATGAGGAAGGAGAAGAGCTATCACAGGCCCAGACAACTCAACAATCCTGGGGCGACAGAGGACGGTCCACACACACACTCAGCAAAGCGGCAGGGGCCAGACACGGCCGTGGGCTGTCTCCATCACTACTTAGCACTGCGATGAACATTCGGAGGGGTTTTCTGCGATAAGTCATCCCGCATGGCGGTGAAATCTCATCTGGTCTTGGAAAAGATCTCAGCGAGATCGTACTCAGCTTCCAACACGCGTGAAGGCAAAGGAAGGAGCCAGGAAGGGAAGGGTGCGTATAAATTTCGCTAACTTTACATCTCTGCACCGCAAAAAAAAGGTCGAGCAAAACCGTCTGACTTCCTACCACACGCATGTAACCCTCATGTCAATTCCACATCAACGGTCATAAAACACCTCCGACGTCTGCCAACCACGGGATGATAAATAACCTACGTGCTAGGGAAGAATTCCAGGTCCTTCCCAGAATCTCCATGTGCGTCTCTGTCCCCCCACCGCCCACCTCGCTCCCAGCCCCCCCCGTCTCCTGGCCGTCTTGCTGTTACACACGCTTAACCCCAAACCGAAATCTTTGCTCCCGATGTCTGCCTTTCCCTGTCTCCCGACACATAACCGTGTCACTCGGTCAAGCCTCCCGCCCACCACCACATACGGCGACGTAGGCACCGGGGGTGCACGTGTCTGTAATCTAGGTCGCAACAGGTCTCTCTCGGTCACTCATCGCTGTTAAGTAAACAGACTACTGAACTCTCGGCAAAGCGACACCTCCCTTGGCTGAACCGGAGCTGTTGGGATTCCATCTCCCACCTGACTTCTGTTACAAGAGGGAGACAGAGACGAGGGCTGGCACCCATCAAGTTTCCTCCCTCACAAGCACAGGTGATCACCCTCCCCGTGGACCCCACCTCCTACCGCGGGAGGGAAGCACGCTGCCCTGTCCCTGGTACTGAAATGGTGACCAGAGAACGCCTCTTGGGGGCCAGGGACACGCATCGCCCCAATCTCAACAACCATTTCCTATCAAAAATACATCACCACATCCCGAAAAAGTCAGGAGTCTCACAAACACATGTCCTGTCCGCCTCGGTGTGAGCAGGCTAACAGTCAGAGAGCCTTCAAAATGCCCTGGCAAGGTACGCGGAGTCTCAATCACAGACCACACTCGGGTTTATTTTATGGACAAATTACTCACTTGGGAATGATTACTCGAGGTCTCGATTTTCTCCTGCGACTTGTCCCTGGCTAGTCTGGCAGCTTCTTTCACCTCCTGGAATTTCTCTGCAAACTGAACATGAAGAACAGTCATTAAGGTTTTTCTTAACCTTTTCTTCCATGGCTGATACTCAGAACCCGCCTTTATTATTTTTCATTCATTTTAGGCCAGTAAATTCTGTATGGATCCAGAAGGATTTTACTCGAGATCACAAAGAAATCAATCTAAGGAGCACTGCTCCCAGTAAACACTATTTGCCCAGGTCTGATCTGAATCAGCTCCTAAGCTTCCGAAGCTAGTTTGACGATTAAGGAATGAAACAAACACCTCTGGTTAACAGTAACTAATACAAATCTGAGAAGAGAAATTCAGCTGTACCAAGAAGGACTCTGTGAAAAACTGCACAATGTCTACGGGAAGGTCCAAGAACTCTTACGAGTCAATATAATAAAAAAACAAAAACATCCAAAGTGTTGGGGAGAAGAAACTGTTCTAGATTCTAAAAGCTTAAGATACAAAATAACAAAATGCCAAATGCGCCATGTGGTCTAGGACTGAACCCCGTTTCCAATGGACCAACCACAAACAACTGGGGAAATGTGACCACGGCCTGGGTGGGGGGACACTGAGAAATTGCTATTTATTTAATTAAAAGTGCTAATGATGTTACTGTTGTTGAAAAATGTCATTTTTTTTTTTAGAAATAGGTTCCGAAGTATTTAGGTGTGAAATGCTTTCCCGGATGCCTGTAATCTAAAGTACTTCGCCAACAATGAAACAGAAAGAAATGCAGCAAATGTTAACAACGAGGTGGCGTGTACATGGGTGTTTATTATACCACGCTCTCTAATTTTCCAAAGTGTTTTCATATTTTCATAATAAAAAAATTCTTAGAATCCCAGAACAATCACGCCAATCACGGGCTTACAGCCACTGACAAGGCGGCTGATTTTAATTAGCAAGTACACTGCCGGAGCAGAGAACATTCTGTGACAGACGGTGCCGGCGTTACAAAGCAAGGAAGCTAACTGGTTGCCGAGAAACAAAGGAAGCCAGCAAGTTGCAAGGCTACCGGCAATTCTGTGGCTTGTGCTACGAACCCATTAATCTCTGAGCACAGGCTACCCTCTGAGTACGTCCACGAGGCCAGCAACAGCGGTGTATTTTGATGACGAAATAATTAGAGCTTCCAAACAGGAAAGGAAAGAGAGTCAATCAGGAGGGAACAAGTGCCTGGGGAAACATCGCAGTGAGGCTAGTACAACAGGAAAAAGGGGCCGTCCCCTTCGGGAAAGAGAGAGTTGGTGCGGATTTTTTTTTTTTTTCTTACAAGAGAAAGTTTATTTAGAAAGTTACAGGGGTAGGAGAAGTGAGCCAGCTGGGCTGCGTGGGCCCAGGAAACAAGTGACAGAAGCAAAAGAAGGGCCCTTGGAGCTCAGGCGAGAGAAAGGCAAAGGTGATAGGCCTGGGGGGAGGGGAAGGGAAGGGAAAGGCGAGGGGCGCTCCCGAGAGGGAGAGCAGATTGTGCAGACTGAAAAAGAAAATACGAAAACCCCAACAGGCAAATGGCGGAGTTCAAGAGTAGAAAGAGGCAGTAAGTCAGCCAATTACAGAAAAATTGCTCAGCCTCACTGAAAATGCAGATCCGTTCTCTGCCAGCTAAATTAGCAAACACGAAATAGAACTGTAATACCCGGTGCCTCCCGGCCAGGCGTGGCTCAGTGGCTGAGCGTGGACCTAGGATCCAGGCGATCGGGGTTCGATTCCTGGTTGGGGCACAGGCCCAGGTTGTGGGCTCGATCAATGACTCTCTCATCACTGATGTTTCTCTCTCTCTCTCCCTCTGCTTTCCTCTCTCTGAAATCAATAAAGGTATATTTAAAAAAAAAAAAAAAAAGATACTTCCAGTAGTGCTGTGCATCCGTACAGCCCCGAGAAGCAATTTGGAGAAATGTACCATGAGTGAGAAAAATGTCCATGCCCACTGACGTAGCTGATACCACTTCTGGGAAACTATTCTACGAGAATAATTGAGAATATGAGAGAGAGAGGGGAAAAAAAGGCCTTCAACATATTAGGATCGGAGATTTATCCGTAATAATGGAAGCTGGACGCGATCCAGACAGCCTGGGAGCGCGTGTTCCCCGCAGCCTCCAGCTGCTAGAGGACTTGTCGCTGAGAGAGGCGCCAGATGGCTGTCCTTTGCTAGAACACCCCTCCCTCCAAGTCTTAAGGCTCGTTAATACTCCCCCCTTATTACAGAAAGTAAAGATGCTTACACATTTGGAAAGCAAAGCTTAGAAAAAAAGTGTTTAAACCTATAGACCCACTTCCCAGAGATAAACACTCACCTCATAAACTTCTGACGTTTTCCTACCTCTATCTATCTGTTACACATACACATTTTTTTAAATCGAGTTATACTGGCCCAGCCGGTGTGGCTCAGCAGTTGAGCACTGACCTACGATCCTGGAGATCGTGGTTCAGACCTGGGGGTGGCTGCTCTGTGGAGTCAGGGATGTCCAGCCACCGTTGTCACCTCGGCAGCACGCCTTGGGGACCCTTCACGCCCAAGCTCCTCTTGGCTAGTTAACTGCCACTTGCCAAGACTGCCGGCCTCACTCCGTGGTAATCTGTCAGCGTGTGGTTAATCGCTGTGGTTAATCGTTCCCTTCAAAGAGGAGGGAAAGGCTGATTCGAAACATTTTGAACAAAGGAGACATCCGAGAGCTCATCTGATAAGTGTCTGTGACAAGGGCAGGCCCCAGTCACAGAGCGGGGACTGCAGGGCTGCGGGGGGCGGGGTGACCCGGGAGACAGGGCGTTACCTTCCCCCCGGGAGGAAGGAGAAGTGGCCGCTCTCAGAAGCAGGCGGCATAAGGTCCCTCCAGTGCTCAGAGGCACAAAAGCCTGAGCTTTAAAAACTTATTCTGTCTTGAGTTCTTCCTTCTTTAGAGTCTTTTCCTGGAAACTTTCCCCCTTTGCTCTTCCTGCTCTGACTCCTCCAAAGACTGGAGGAGTCGTTCCAGCAGCCGGGAGGGGTCCTCTCAGACCACCCTGGGAACCCGTGAGCTCAGGTGCGGGCGTGTGACCTGAGGTGGCCCAGCCTGGACCCCGCCTCCGACAGGAGCCTCCCCGTTTCGTGCTTCCCCGGGGATCTGAGGCTTCAGCCCCGTCAGTGTGGTTGGGCGGCAGGGCTGGGAAGGGGCACTCGGCAGGGAGGACCGCTCCCCGCCCGCCCCAGACCAGGCACCGATTTGGGATGGAAAGACCGGCAGTCCACACAGCCCGCCTCAGACAGAGGTTCCGGCACCATCCTCCCGGGAAAGCACCATCCGACCTGCTTCCATTTTACGTGAATTCTCTCTGATCATCTTCATTTCAAAAAGCGGCGTCACTCACCTCCCGGGGCCTGCGTTTTACACTCTCCCTGGATTTCGAGCTACTCTGACATTCTTCCAACACATTCCCATGTTATGTAAATTAGCCAGTCTTGCTTTCAACCAATATATTCTTTTTTAAAACATCTTTATTGTTGAAAGTATTACCGATGTTCCCCCCCCTTGACCCCC